AAATATCTTAATATTGCTGTTGGGATGTTTCCATACCAAAAGATGACAGATAGATTTTCTAGTGAGCGAGTTAAGAAAAATGTGAAATACAACTGCAATTGGCCCCAGTCTCCCTTGCTGATATAATGGCCTAAATGTATTCATTCTATTTCCAAACTAATGAATTAATCTGCTGAGCTGCTAATCAGCTTACAAGCCTGTAGAGACATTTAGCCATGAGTCTGAGTAGACACACATGTTCAGCTCACAAAAGCCAGTGATAATTTTCAACAGACAGCATATGTGAGGATGATAATGATGAGTATATCATCGAGACCATCATTAATGTATTAATTTATTACACTGAACGAGGGTAGTGAGATCATACAAGCATGTTTACTTTGGTAAGGACAGCCTGTGTATATTTGCGTGCACATTTTATCAAAGATGAGGTAATCTGTTTTAATCTGTTTTAGATTATAGACCATGGTCAGGTGTGGGATAAGGGTTAAGACCAAGAAAACAACAGATTTACCCTCCCCTGAAATGTCTGACAGACCCAATTTATAAAAGCATAGTTGTTGTCAACCTGAATAGATTAGGGATTTGTCACACCTGATAAGAGTGATCCTTTACACTTTGATGGGATCTGATCCAAAACAACCTAGGTATAGATCATCCAGGTCTGGCGTTTACCAGCTCAGGGCACTGATCCTAACAACTTACCAGTCGGGAACACTATGTCCATCTCAAAGGTCCAGACACCTTCAACATGTTCACATTCCATACACATGATTCACTGTCTATATACCAAGGACAGATCATTCTAAAATGTGATGGATAGCACCATGACTGAGCTTTTATTTACATCAGTGACAGAATAAGATATTTTCTCCAGATGCACTCTGTCAGGAATGAGCCCAAATACTAGTGATGGTGAGTACTGAGTATTAGCACAGTACATTGAGACAGTATTATCTGTTGTGCAGGCTGTCTGAGGACCTGTGGTTTCTGCACAAGGTGTTTAATGTGTGTGTGGGGGGGGGGGGGGGGGGGGGCTCGGGGGGCAGAGGGTTTATACTCCACATATGGCCGGTTTGGCAAGCCAGGAACAGGTTTGCTTGTACTTAAAAAAGATGAAAAGAGATGGGAGTAGGCTGGGAACTCACTTGAATCACCTTTGGAATAGAGACCAGACATTTCTGAGGAACGTCTGTATGTGATTCATATTGAGAATTTAAAGGGGTCATATGACGATGCTAAAAATTCATTATTTTGTGTATTTGGTATGATGCAATGTGTTAACGCGGTTTAAGGTTAAAAAAACACATTACTTTCCACAAACCGTACATTATTGTTGCTCCTTTCAGCCCCGCCTTTCTGAACGTGTCGATTTTTACAAAACTTCTAAAAAGCGCAGTGTGCTCTGATTGGCCAGCTATCCAGTGCGTGGTGATTGGCCCGAATACCTCAAGTGTCTGATTTACATTTACATTTTGTCATTTAGCAGACGCTTTTATCCAAAGCGACTTACAAATGAGGACAATGGAAGCAATCAAAATCAACAAAAGAGCAATGATATGCAAGTGCTATAATAAGTCTCAGTTAGCTTAACGCAGTACACGTAGCAAGGTTTTTTTTAATTAGGCTATATAATAAATAAAAAGAAAACAGATAGAATAGAAAAAAATAGAGCAAGCTAGTTTTAGAGGCCTTTTTTACTTTTGTTAATTGTATAACAAAAAAACAACAAATAGATAGAATACAAAAAGATTAGAGAAGCTAGTGATAGTTTTTTTTTTTTTAAAGAATAGAATTAGAATAGAGAGTGCTAGAGTTAGAGGGTCAAATAAAGATGGAAGAGATGTGTTTTTAGCCGATTCTTGAAGATGGTTCTAAGGACAGGTCATTCCACCAGGAGGGAACATTTAATTTAAAAGTCCATGAAAGTTATTTTGTGCCTCTTTGGGATGGCACAATAAAGCGACGTTCATTTGCAGAATGTAAGTTCTAGAGGGTACATAAGTCTGAAATAATGAATTTAGGTAAAGGGATGCAGAGCCAGTGGTGGTTTTGTAGGCAAACATTAATGTGTGATGGAAATGTTACGCCCCTTACCATATTTGGAAACACACAGCATCTCCACGACATGGCGGCGGCGACAACAATACTACAGCGAGAATAAATGTTACGACTTCTTTCTTTGTGTAAACATTTGGGCAGTGTTATGCAAATCTTCTAACACAGTGATGTAGACATGTGGGGGCGTGTTTAAATGAGGCGTTGCGTGGACGAGTCTTAACTTTTATAAAGAATATTTCTTTGGGTTTAAGACTTTAGTCTTTGTAACTTTAGGTATCTTGTGTATGCACGAACAGCTTGTAACACTGCAAAGACAAAGGAAAACTTGAAATCGCATCATATTTAATATATTTATCAGCTGATTGTAACATATGTAAGCAAACAGCTTAAAAAAAACATTAAAAAAAAACATTACTAAAGTAAATATTTATAAGATTTTCGAATACTTTAAATTATATAGATGCACTGGTATGAAAGTATAGCACTTGGCTTTCTGTTTCTAATAATAGCTATAATCATTTTTTCATACCTTTTTTTTAGTTTGTTTGTTTGTTTTACAAAAAAGAAAACAGATAGAATAGAAAAAAATAGAGCAAGCTAGTGTTAGAGGCCATTTTTGCTTTTGTTAATTGTATAATAAATTAAAAGAAAAACAAATAGATAGAATACAAAAAGATTAGAGAAGCTAGTGATAGTTTTTTTTTTTTTAAAGAATAGAATTAGAATAGAGAGTGCTAGAGTTAGAGGGTCAAATAAAGATGGAAGAGATGTGTTTTTAGCAGATTCTTGAAGATGGCTAAGGACTCAGCTGCTCGGATTGAGTTGGGCAGGTCATTCCACCAGGAGGGAACATTTAATTTAAAAGTCCATGAAAGTTATTTTGTGCCTCTTTGGGATGGCACAATAAAGCGACGTTCATTTGCAGAATGTAAGTTCTAGAGGGTACATAAGTCTGAAATAATGAATTTAGGTAAAGGGATGCAGAGCCAGTGGTGGTTTTGTAGGCAAACATTAATGTGTGATGGAAATGTTACGCCCCTTACCATATTTGGAAACACACAGCATCTCCACGACATGGCGGCGGCGACAACAATACTACAGCGAGAATAAATGTTACGACTTCTTTCTTTGTGTAAACATTTGGGCGGTGTTATGCAAATCTTCTAACACAGTGATGTAGACATGTGGGGGCGTGTTTAAATGAGGCGTTGCGTGGACGAGTCTTAACTTTTATAAAGAATATTTCTTTGGGTTTAAGACTTTAGTCTTTGTAACTTTAGGTATCTTGTGTATGCACGAACAGCTTGTAACACTGCAAAGACAAAGGAAAACTTGAAATCGCATCATATTTAATATATTTATCAGCTGATTGTAACATATGTAAGCAAACAGCTTAAAAAAAACATTAAAAAAAAACATTACTAAAGTAAATATTTATAAGATTTTCGAATACTTTAAATTATATAGATGCACTGGTATGAAAGTATAGCACTTGGCTTTCTGTTTCTAATAATAGCTATAATCATTTTTTCATACCTTTTTTTTAGTTTGTTGTAAGGATCCCTTGTATACTGTATGTCATTTTTAACACTAAACAAACATGGGTGGTGATGTTACTTTTTTGACTGTTAATCTAAAAAAAAAAAAACATTACTAAAGTAAATATTTATAAGATTTTCGAATACTTTAAATTATATAGATGCACTGGTATGAAAGTATAGCACTTGGCTTTCTGTTTCTAATAATAGCTATAATCATTTTTTCATACCTTTTTTTTAGTTTGTTTGTTTGTTTTACAATTCTTTTAGACAGAACTGTTAAATAAAAACAGCAAACTAATGTGAGCTTGTGCGCATTACATGCACATGCCAAAATAAAATCTGCTTCCAACACTCACGGACAGATGGTGATAATTTAAAATGAGCAATATTGGCCAATATATCTGTAGACTATTGCTTGAAAAATAAGAGATTTACCATGACAGTTGTAATTATTGGACATTTGAAACATACCATGATAGGCCTACTGAAATTCGTGTACCATGGTATTTTCACATGGTACACAAAATGAGTTTCAAGAATATCATGATAATAGTAAATGTCCAAATGGTACTTTTTGTTAGTGTACCTTGAACCACAATGTAATACCATGGTAGGCCTACTTATACATGGTAAAAAAAACGATAGCATGCTATACATCACTGTACCATATAGTAGAGCTTGAGAGACTGAGAGTCATGTGTCAAGTGCAGAAAAATGAGGGTCAGTAAACTGAGTAGATGTATATTAATGGAGAACAAAATAAATGTAACCTTCGCCTTTAAATGTCATGTCTGAACGATGAAATGAAATGCCCAGATTGCCATGTAAGACGAGTGAGGATGGGAAAGAAGGGAGGTTGAGGAAACGCCTGCTTGTTTAAAATAGGTGAGACACAATGAAGCTGCTGGTGGTAACATATAGGGCACGGGTGAGACAACTGTTTTTTTAAATCATGTCTGTTTTTTAAAAAAAAAACATGACACAAAGCTGTGTGTGTAAAAGGATGTCATGTTGACTTTGAAAGAGGATATGCCACAACGCAATTCAGTTAAATTTCAGCTAGTAAACCTTGAGGCCAGAAAGGAGACAAAAACTTGGTGCGTCAACGACACAGTCAACAGGTCCTTTTGTGTCTCCGCAGCGCACGCAAGGTGAAGCGCTTTGGACGCACTCAAGCATACAGATAAGGTATTTTAAAGAAACTTAATAGATTTGCGCTGTACTAGAAGGACCATTACAGACTATACATGAAATATACGTGTCAACAACAATATCAAATTTGGTTAAAGTGAATTGTCTGGCGTTTTTTTTTGGAGGACTGCTAACAACACGACAGAGTAAATGCCCAGATTGCCATGTAAGACGAGTGAGGATGGGAAAGAAGGGAGGTTGAGGAAACGCCTGCTTGTTTAAAATAGGTGAGACACAATGAAGCTGCTGGTGGTAACATATAGGGCACGGGTGAGACAACTGTTTTTTTAAATCATGTCTGTTTTTAAAAAAAAAAACATGACACAAAGCTGTGTGTGTAAAAGGATGTCATGTTGACTTTGAAAGAGGATATGCCACAACGCAATTCAGTTAAATTTCAGCTAGTAAACCTTGAGGCCAGAAAGGAGACAAAAACTTGGTGCGTCAACGACACAGTCAACAGGTCCTTTTGTGTCTCCGCAGCGCACGCAAGGTGAAGCGCTTTGGACGCACTCAAGCATACAGATAAGGTATTTTAAAGAAACTTAATAGATTTGCGCTGTACTAGAAGGACCATTACAGACTATACATGAAATATACGTGTCAACAACAATATCAAATTTGGTTAAAGTGAATTGTCTGGCGTTTTTTTTTGGAGGACTGCTAACAACACGACAGAGCTCATGTCTGCTCTACAGCTGATACTCAGAGGACGCTATGGTCGGATGTCTCTTAACTGAGGACAACACATGAATACGCTGAACTTGTAAATTAAGCCACATGGTTAACAGCACATAATGCTTCGATACGGATCGCCACCCAAGAGCTGGCTTGGGCTTCGTCTGCGACTAAGTAAGTGGAATTTTGTTTTACGTGTTACTGACTGCAGTTAAAATAAAATAAAAGGGTGTACCTGTATATGGTGCTTCTTTGCGGCAGTTATGGCTAAAAACAGCGTGCTGACGCGATACATTTTGAGGATGTCTTAAAGGGATGTCTTAAAGTTCATTTACTCACTCTCATGTCATATAATTTTGCTGGATGTCTCAGTCCCTCTTTTCCATTTAATGAGAATGAATGATGTCAAACTTTAAAGATGTTGCAAAATCATCCTAGAAGTATGATAAAAGGTGTAATTTCATTAGGACATTCTGACCCTAAAATAGACTAGTCAGACACTGTATGGTTATAGTTAATTGATTTCTGGACTGTATGTTAGAGAACTGAAAATAGTCTAGTTTAACTCGTAATTACTGGATGTTTGTCTGTCTGTACAGGATTATTTCCTTTTTTGGCTATTTAAATCTGGATTTTCTGCCAATCTTGGTCTTGGATTTTCTCATTCCTCAGTTTTAGATTTGGGATAAATTATATTTACAGTATGTCGTGACAGGTAGACAGACAGCTCTGTGGTTTACCTCTTTACTGGCTTATCATAAGGAAATATGATTCACACTGTATCAACAGTCAACAGCTCTGTTTCAACAGAGATTGCATTTAGTTTGGAAACAACATGGAAAAAGTTAGAAAAATATGTTGCATTGGTGACGCAGTGATAAGAAATAGAAACATTTTGAAAACTCTATATTAACTATTTATCCAGATAATAGATAGACCAACTGATTTGACCAAAAGTGGGAAGTGGTTGCAAATTATAAATGGTGACAAATATAATTAGATGGTCAGTATTAATATTATTAAATATTAAAAGTAAAATTAATTTCCTTCCCGTCTAAAGGTTCCTCTCTATAGATTTCCCATTTAAATTTGGTATTTGCTTACATGCAGTGTTTGACCAAAGGACCTAATGTACAACAATAGTTTCATGTTTTTTTAAGCAAGATTGGCCACAAGTTCATTATTTTACATTCTGTTTGGCAAATATAAGTAGTTTAAAATCCTTAACTAGAAACTATAAAAAATAGTTTTACAGTGGAAACAAAGTGACTTTTCCATCCAAAGGAAATGTTCTGTCTGTGAGGTCCAGGGCCATGGTTATTAAATCCAAACTTCAAACTAACAAATGGGGCTTTTATGAAGCTCACAGTTTATCAGTGAAGCTATTGAGTGGTATTTCTTAAAATAATGTCAAATATAGTCTAAGCTTTTGAATTTATGATAAAGAACACCAGTAATATAGACTTGTTTACCTGGCTTTGAATAGGAACCGTTGCATGGAACTATCTTGTCTATTTGAGAACTGTCACTTGGCTGACTAATTTGCCATCTAGCCTCCAAACCAAGCCCATTACTAGTTTCAGGTCGACTGGACTGTTCGCCATGTGCATGGTTGTCCTAATGCTAGTGTTTTAAACAAAGATAAACAATGTCAGGAGAATCACAGATCAGAGGATTAGCCTAGTTATTATAATTGACTGTAGTAGTTGTCACACCACAGAGGTCTTTCATGTGTGGCCAACATGCTGGTGGTAACATATGCTTTTCATGCTGAGTATCATGAGCTGAAGATAGCATTTTGACTAGCAAAATGCAATGCTGCAAACAAAAGTTGGGTGTGGTATGGTATGTGATGATCATTAGCCTTTAAACAAATTGAAAATACTTGTATAAGGGTGCTAATGTGTCATCAAATGCAGATAGATAGTGGGTGTCTGTAGCAAAAGTGTTTTTATTATGTTTAATATGTACAATTCTACAATTTGAATAAATAACAATTAACAATTAAAATAATTCATATGAATAGATAATATTTTTTATATTATATCTTTACATTTTAAATGTAATTATTTATAATATAGATAGATAGATAGATAGGTTAATAAAGACACAATAAAACTAAAATGACTGATTCTGTAATGTATACGCAATGCTTTTGTGCCACGTCGTTAAATCTTCAGTTATAATCTTTTGGTTGCTTTTATCTGTGGTTTAGTTAGATAATTAGATTTTTTTTTAATTGTTTGACAGTCTTAGATTTTATTTAAAGCCTTTTGTGTACTAAGAATCATAAGTAAACAACAATATTCCAGATGAATGATTTAAATAGTCAAACAACAGCTACAGAGCAACATACAGCTGAAACAAAACCACACTAGTATGCCTCAGCAATAAAGTTCAACCGTAATTATTTAACTTAATAGCCAGATGAAACGAGCTAAAATATAAAAAATCGTACACCAGCTCGCATAGAGAAATGTCTCGGTGAAGATAAAAGAGCTTTGTTGTTTGTACATGTCCCAGAGAATGATTAAGCTGACAGAGTCTGAGACTGCGGCGTATTGGCTTCACTGCCACTGCAAGCCTGGTCATTAAAACTAACCCCTGCACGTCACACTGCTCCAAATCACTACCATATGGCTGGAAATGTTGGATCCCATCAGCTAAGACTCTCCCATGCTACTCTCTAATTTGTTAGAGCAAAATTAGAAATTGTGGGGGTTCTGGAGAGCACCCGCGAACTCTTGCAGCTATTCTCTTAATCTTTATCTTAACCCTTTCTTACTTTCAACTCACTAAACCTGCTTTTGAAAGTTTTTCATCCTCCATTATTCTCTGTATCCCTGACTGTGACTTGAGTGTTTGTGAACCATGATGTCTGCTCTATATGATACTATAATTTTGAAATACATGAAGTTTGTGGGCTACAAGTAGGTGGACATCTCAAAAGGCAGCTTTGTATCGCTTGCCATTCTGAAAAGTCACAGGTCCAAGTCTCCCTCACATCCCAGCATGCACTTCACATGTGGATGAATGCATCGCTTGTCTGGCGTACTGTGTGGGTCAAGCCCCCCCTCTTTTTTCCCCTTCACATACTGGCTCACAAAGTCCAAAGCACCCTGCCTGGAAACTTTATAGAAATCCAGTATTCTGAGAACTTTTCTCCATGAGAGAACTCATTCAAGTTTTAGTGCATTCTGTAATATGGAGACACATTAAGAGGAGTAATATTTAAAAGATTGATGTTTGGTTCAAGGTGTGAAGAACATCATCTTGATCTTCACAAGTGAGATGCGGTGTTAGATTTATCGGTTGCGCTTGGATTGTAAGGCACAATGTTCTATTGGCGACGGCATGGGTCTTATGAACTGGAAACTGTGCCATGTACACAGAGTGAGTTGGGGTTGGAGAAGTACACCTGGACCTCCCTCATGGACATTACCCAGAAGTCTTGTGGTAAGAGATTTTAATTAAATGGCAAATAGTGTGAAACAGTTCGATTGAATCGTTATCTGTTTTTACCTTCATAGGTAAACTGAATTTTTTTTTTAATGTTGTTAGTTTAAGGTGGATTGGCTCTGTATTGTATCTTATTTCCCATGCAATGTTTCTTCTCAAATGTGTTTTCATTGAATGACTAGTAGGATAAGATTGCAATATTGTTTTCAGAGGGCTTGTACTTCATCTAAAATTAACATTTTGTCATAATTTACTCACCTTCATGTCATTCGCACACATGCATGACTGACTTTCTTCTGTGGAAAACTAAAATGAGCAAAATCGCCATGCTGCTGTCATCCATAATGAAAGTGAATTGGGACCAGGAGCTGTCAAAATATTAAATAAAACCATCATAAAAGTAGTCCAAACTAAATATGTAATTTTCGAAGTCTTCTGAAGTAATTTTGTGTAGTAGTTTTGTGTGAGGAATTGGCTGAGGTTTTAGTTAATCGCTGAAAATTTTGCCTAGAAGATCAGTGGTCACCATATACTTTCATTGTGTGGAAAAGAGCAACAACAAAGGACATTCTGCTATAAATAACTCCTTTGGTGTTCCATGGACAAAAGGTAAGTCATACAGGTTTTTCAAGACACAAAGGTGAATAAATAATGATAGAATTTAATTTTTGGCAGTGAACAGTACCTTACACTCAAATCTAGTGGAACAAAGTGGCTTTTTTGGCTTTGTGTGTATAAAAAACAGTTTTGAGCGTCTTAACAACCTGGAGCTTAACACGCTCAAAACTGTGGAGATGATCATGGACTTCAGGAGAAAACCCCCTGCACTCCCCCCACTCACCATCATGGACAGCACTGTGACTGCAGTGGAGTCATTCAGGTTCCTGGGCACCACAATCTCTCAGGACCTGAAGTGGGACACTAACATAGACTCCATTGCAAAAAAGGCCCAGCAGAGGTTGTACTTCCTTCGCCAGCTGAGGAAATTCAACCTGCCACAGGAGCTGCTTAAACAGTTCTACTCTGCTATCATTGAGTCTGTCCTGTGTTCATCCATAACTGTCTGGTTTGGTTCAGCAACCAAATCAGACATCAAGAGACTACAACGGACAGTCAGAACTGCTGAGAGGATTATTGGTGCCCCTCTGCCCAGCCTCCAAGATCTTTACATCTCCAGAGTGAGGAAAAGGGCTAAAAAAAATCACCTTGGACCCCTCACACCCACCCCTCTCTCTCTTCGAACTGTTGCCTTCTGGCCGGCGCTACAGAGCACTGACCACCAGAACAGCAAGGCACAAGAACAGTTTTGTGTAAACATACTTGGTAATAAAGCTCTTCTGATTCTGATTCTGATAACCACCTGTTTGGTTTCCACTAAGTAGTCAGAAAGTTTTAGAGACCACTGTGATACCAAAGTGCAGAAAAAGAGAGTGAGTTTTAGCTTGTCCATACTACCCTTACGGTTTGATCTGTGCACTAATGCCCCAATTAGGATCCACTAAAATTGACCTTTGCCTCTGGAAGTATTTTGTCTGTCTAATCACTCACTCTATGCCTCTTTCAGTCTTTGCAGTCAAACAAATGGCCTTTTCTTATTGCCTAAATCTTTAGTGGCACCAATGGCACCTTAAATTTAGTGGCACCAAATGGAATTGCAAAAATGAAAGTTTTCAAATGGACCATTTTTTCAAATAGTTTTCCAAAAAAAGCCTGTCTGTTATGGTTACATAAGCAGGTTGTTCCTCCCCAAATGTCCAATGTTGCTATGTTGGGCTGACATCTGTCACCTAATCTCATTTGGGCCCAAAACGCAAGAGGATTAGTTAGCCAGAAATAAAGAATCAGTGACAATTCCCCTCCCAGCCCTTTAGCTGGTTATGTTTTGATTTTCTCAAACCTTCCAAATCATATACTGGCATCCATGGCATCAGCTTGGTGTTCCTCCTATGGAGGCTAAGGAAATGAGTATTAAATAAAATATTTCCCTTCTAGCACTTGAGACACTAGATGTGCTTAACCCTCCTCAGGAGCTTCGGCAAACGGCTGGGTAAACAAAGGGGCATGAAAAACAGATCCTGGCATTCTGCACATTCCTTACATAGAGGATTTCTTAGGAGGTTCCCTCTGCCTCTCTGACTAAAGAAGGAGAAATGGAATATTCTTCATGGAGAGATGGAGGCAAGTATGGAGATGGAATGTGAGCAGTGTAGAGGATAATATCTAGAGTCTGGCTTGAGCTATGTGATGATGTTCTGCTTTCAGGATGCTTGAGAAAATGCAGTGCCTTGATGAAGTAGGCACTGTGTACCATGTAAATGCCATGCTATATGAATACGGCAAACTTTCACACAACTATTGTATATGGGTGTTTCTTCAACCTCTGACACTTTTATGTTCTAAAGGACAGATGTTTTTCACCTTGTTCTCTTACTTTTTTCTTTCCAAGCCTTCATCTGTTTATTTTTTGCTATAATGCCTTTAGGCTATAATGCCTTTAGTGTATTGTGTATAGACTATATTGCTTTACACTTATTATATATTCAAAAATCAGAGTTGGTTTCTTGTCTATGGTTGTCTAAACTCTGTAAACATGCATCGCTTCTGTTCAACCGGTTTTGAAGTGGCAGCATTGCTAGAAAGGAGAATGAGGGGTGAAATCGATGAAAAAAATACCCTTTTTTCGCATTAAAACCTGTGGGTTTCTAGGTAAGTGGAATATCACTGCCATCACTGAAAGGAAAATCAACCAGTCTGCCAGCAAACTTGTAATGTCTGGAAATCTCAGATTTCCGCCAACTTTTTTCGCTCTGTCTGTTTTTCTCTCCTTTTCCTTTTTGTGTTATTGTCAGTTCTTCAGTTTTTAGTCAATCCCTCCCTTAAAGTTTAATATTAATTGTCATTGTAATCATCTTTTCCTGGTACCCTGGCAGTTAATAGTCTTTATGGACTTAACGGCATGGCTAAATCAAGTTATACATTATAGTGACATATTCAGTTTATTTGGTCAGCATATCATGCAATTAAGTAGTTGAGTTTTATCACTAGCTCTTATTTGTGGTCTAAGGGCTTTCTGATTGAGTTGCTGTTTTCAGTCGCTCTCTCCTACATATCCTCCAGCTGCCTCATCTTTTGCGTCCCATATTGCTGTTATGTCTTTTGGCTCATGCCCAAGGACATATCCCCCACAGGCTCACCGAGTTCACAAGAGTCTCTTCAGGTATACCCTAGTATGAAATGTCTCAATCATATTTATCTGCTTCATTTATCTTCTTTATATTACTCCTGGATACTTCATACTTTGCACACATTTTTAAGCACTGCGTTTTAAAAACAAGTGATTTTAAGCCATTGAAATAGAGAACTCATTTTGCTATATACGCGCGCTGTCTGAGAGACGGTTTTTGAGAGCTGTCAGATAGGCGCGCGCACATGAAGACGGTGCTCATAGAGTGTGGGAGTATTGAAGTTCATTAAGTGTCGAAGTTATTTTTGCCGGTTTATAGGCCTTAAACGGTTAAATACACACACTTGTATGTGTCAAAATGCCCGTCTTTGCAAGTATCTTCATAGACAGTAATTTGGGTCTTAAGCAAACAGCTGAGGAAGAAAACACATGTAGAACAGTATATTGGATCCGGGCAGCTCTTAAAGTGACAGCAGTCTAATCAAACAACAAAACATAAAATCTCTCATTGTTCTTAACTAAATCACTTTTGTAACTTTAATAAGTATACATAAATATATATATATATTTAATTTACACAGTGAAGAATATGCAGTGTTCTTATACATTTGATTACTATATACAATGTATGTAACATTTCTTATTTATAACTATATTGTGCTATATAAATATATCATTATTGTGAAATAAAATTATTCATATTGGTCATATCGACATACCCCCCCCCCCAACGTGACTAAGCCTTTCCAGTTTGGCTTACCACTTGACCTTACTTTTAATTCCCTCCCACATATGATTGATCTTTAACCTCTGTTTGCATGTTGTTTTAGGTGAGAAGCCTGCACAGGAGGAGAAAACTGGCATCTTGTGTCAGCATCCCAACTGTCCCGAACGGCGGCTTGCTTCCAAGGTAACCCGTCAGTATGTGTCACAGGGAAGCCCTGTAGGGGCGAAGCGAGCTGGTAAATGTTTACCTCTTAGTGTTTTCGTGGACTCTTATGGACAAAAATCCCAGGCATGCCAATTGCATTTATCACATGGAATATTCCAGCACAATAATCATTTGTCAGCAGGTGTGCTTAGGGAACTGACAGGAAAAACAAAAGTTTTGTTTGTCTTTGTGCTGGTGAGAGGACGGATATGATGTTATAGGCAACGTTTCACCAGCCTTCTCCTGGGAGGCATGGAAAAGAGAGATTACTGTAGAGTATATGAGGCTGTTCACATATAAACGCGCTTACACAAAACAAAATATGTCTCTCCCTTCCTGTTGTTCTCTCTCTCCCTTTATACACACGGTCTCTCTTCTTATGTCTCTCTGTTTGTCTGTTTTTGATTGCACTTTATTGTCTTCGGACCATTGCCAAACTGGTTTGACTAAAAAGTCAGTGTATTCCTTCTTGTGTCCCTCTTTCTTTTAAACATCAGTCACTCCCATTTTTTATCACTGGCAAACCTGGTGCCTATTCATTACCAACACTTTCCACTTTTGTATTTTAACAGGTGCTCCTTTACCTTTAAAATCATAGATTACAATGCAACCACAATATGAATACTGATGTATTGGATACAGTAACCTTAAATTGGACAAATATATGTGCCAGTATTCCCCTCCTTTGTATATATATATATATATATATATATATGTTTGTATATATATAGAGAGAGAGAGAGAGAGAAATCAGATAATTCAGTTGAGAAGCATTGATTAAAAAAAAAACATGAAATTAAGTATGATTATTTAAATTGATTTACTCAGTTGACTAAGCTTTTATATATTAATTATTTATTTTTATTGAATATATAAGCAAACACCTTTTTCAGTTAAAAAGTCTAAACATCTAAACCCTAAACATCGCAGAAACAACTGATGTGCAATTCAGATTTTAGTTACAGCTCATATCTGAAATGAATGGATGATAATTGTCCAAAATAATGCAGATTATCAAACCTGGTTTCCAAGACTAGCAATCTTTTGTTTAGTAAGACCAACAAGGCAGCCTATCTTGTTGAGCAGGTATATATATATATATATATAGAGAGAGAGAGAGAGAGAGAGAGAAATCAGATAATTCAGTTGAGAAGCATTGATTAAAAAAAAAACAAGAAATTAAGTATGATTATTTAAATTGATTTACTCAGTTGACTAAGCTTTTATATATTAATTATTTATTTTTATTGAATATATAAGCAAACACCTTTTTCAGTTAAAAAGTCTAAACATCTAAACCCTAAACATCGCAGAAACAACTGATGTGCAATTCAGATTTTAGTTACAGCTCATATCTGAAATGAATGGATGATAATTGTCCAAAATAATGCAGATTATCAAACCTGGTTTCCAAGACTAGCAATCTTTTGTTTAGTAAGACCAACAAGGCAGCCTATCTTGTTGAGCAGGTACAGATGAGAGAGTACTAACAGTTTCTGTATGCAAAAAAAATTGCCAGTAACAGCCCTCTTCACTAAACTCTGGATACAGATAAATCTGTATAAAGGACACCAATAAAGCTTGTTTACGCAGAACATGTCTGATTCATTATAGGACATCACAGTGATGTTTGCTTGTTTTTTTGGTGTCCTATATTTCCTGTCAGCTCAACTCTCCTCTGAACTTTAGCAAGCTTTTGAAAAGAGTCTCTGGGTAAACACTTCTGTTTCTAGTCCTCTCTGATCGAAGCCAGACTGAACTTAATGTACCCAATGTTTTTATCTGAACCAGGAACACACTTATGTCATTACCCTTAAAATATGGAAAGATGAGAGGGACTCTTGTTTATTTGAAAAGGTTTCTGCTGAAAAAGAACGAAGGAGAGTTTAAGTGTGCGTGTATGAGTCACAATGTTTATGTTTTGTGGTCTTTGTGGCTTGTCTCTAGTGCACTACAAGTTTCATGTAGGTTTGTTCTTCCTGTCTCCTGCAAGGGGTCAAGAGGTGAAAATACACAAAGATGATGACGATAGTTTGCTGTTGCCGTTTAACTGTTCATGCTGCTAGCTGACATTTAAATGTGAAGTGTGTATTTTTTTTATGTTAAAATGCTCTTATCTCAGACAGCTTTAAGTACATTAATATTTATGCTTTTAGCTTGTTTTGGCCATGGGAAATAAATAAATAAAGACAATTTAGATTTTTTTCTCGGAACTCTGAATTTATATCTGAATTTATTGTGTGGTCATAAACTCACATATGCAAGAAAAAAAGTCTGAATTATCGCTTGTAAACTCAGAATTGTGAGGAAAAAAGTAAGATTTGCAAGATAAAGTATAAACCCAGAACTGCGAGATGTAAACTCAGAATTCTGAAAAAAATTTATAAAAATCAGATCAGATCTAGGAGATATTAACCCAGAATTGTAAGATGAAAACTCAGGATTGGATGAAAGAATGTTAGAATTCTGAGATTATATCTCATTCTTACTCTCTTTTTTGAATTGAGTTTATTTCTTGCAAATCTGAGTTTATAACTCACAATTCTGATGTTTTTTTCTTCTCAGAATTGCAAAAAAAGTCAGAATTGTGAGACACAATTCTCACAAGACAGAATTGCTAAAAAGGCTGAATTGTGAGATAAAAAGTCGCAATAACCTTTCTTTACTTTTTAAATCCATGGTGGAAACAGACCTCCATATTTAGCAGATGCTTTCATCCAAAACGACTTGTAAAAGAGAAATAAAAGCAATATTCATAATATACAATGCCAGGTTTATTATAGTTTTTTCAACTGCTTACACACAAAATTTCTGAAATCTGACACTCAAACACCACTGAGAACCACACACCAAATCTGCAAAACCATATGCTAATTCTCTGCCTTTTCAATTTCATAAAACATTTTTTGCAAAACACAACACACAATATGTAACACAAAAATCTAACAAGAATTAAGATTATGGCAAAGGTTTTTGCAAATGTTTGGTTTTGAGATATGTGATATTTTGAATGCAGTGCTTCACTTTGCAAGAGATGTGAGGCATTTTGCATTTTGTGTGTGCAATTCTTGGATTTGTGTGTAAAGTTTTGAAAAAAGAGGCAAGGTTTTAAAAATGTTGAAAAAAAAACTGTAAGCAAGCCATTCATAGATTAATTTCCCCGAAAAGTGTGATACTGTTTATCTGACCAATGGTCGCTAGAAGCAAGAAATTACACACTTCAGCTTTAAGTTTGTCTGTTTTCTTGTGTGTAAACGAATTGGTATAAGTCTTTATTTTAGTACGTGGTAGAGGTCTGCGTGGGGCTGTTTTTTTTAGTCCCGCTCCCGCAAGGTTCTATTCCGCACCCACCCGCTCCCGCTATATATTTACTCTTTGTTCACCCGCTGTCCGCTTAGAATAATTTTCTTCCCGACCCGACCGTTCCCGCTAAATTTAGATCTCGTTTCCAGAATCTCACATTTAAATTTCCGCTACTGAAAGAAAGAGAGATAGGCTGACAAATAAAAGTGTATTCTGCACAAAATTGTATGTTATTTTATTCGTCTTGTCAAGAGTCTTGAATTTATAGGAATTATCTTAAGACACAAAATTTGTTTAATATTTTATACAACACAGTAGGAAAAAAAGTGTCAGAGAAAATAAAATTGTACAAAAATTTTATTTCTTATTTTTATTTGTCTTGTCAGGATACAATTCGTTTAACATTGACAACACAATAGGGAAAAAGTGTCTAAAAATTTAAGTTGTACAAAAATGGCCTATTAGCTATTTTTATTCCTCTTGTCAAAATACTAAATTCGTTTGACATTTTTCTGTTAACAGTAGGAAAAGTGTCGCAGAGAAAAGTAAATAAATATGACATCTTTTATTTAAAATTATAGGCTAAGCAAAATATAAACAAAACCGAGTTGAACCTTTGCTCCATCCTTATTCTGCACTGTCACTCATCGACAACCTGCCTGTTCTGTCTGAGGGCCATATATTTACCACAGGTACAGACTGCTCTGAGCATCGTTGTGTGTGTTCTTCCTCAGCTATCAAAACGCGTGAGGTTTAAAGCATGCGTGCAGCACGTGCATAACAGTCCTGAGTGCAAGCTGTACCGGTGGTCAATAAGAAAAAAGCGCAGATATGCTGTTCTAAATGGACGTCGGGAACGAGATATTGTTAGACCGCCCACTCCCGTTCAAATTACACCAGAGTTACCAACCGCTACCGTGTTTTATTCAGGAATTTAATCCCGCAATTCCCGTGGCGCAAAAAATCCGGTCGGGTAGACCTCTCACTACGTGGCAAAACTGGATCCATTATAGATTAATTCCACATGAAACCAACACAGAACAGGATCTGTAATAATTTAGCACCGTGTGAGAATGTGTGCGTTTATGCATTGATAATTTATGTGTGTGTGCATTTGCATGCTTGTGTGCATGTGTAAATATGTGTGTGAAAAAGTTGCGAAATAGGTTGGCCATCCTTATCCCTTACATAAACACAGACTAAACAGTGACTGCACTATAATAAACACAGACATTAGCAGCTGACTGTAATTTGTCTTGTAAAAGATGAATATGCTGCTTACAAAGACACTAAGCTGGAGCAGAACAGAGTATTATGGGTTAGCAGATGGGATAATGGTGTCTTTTAGACACTTTCTTCATGAAAATGCACAGGGTTGCCAATGTCTTGGCTTCAAAGGCTTGATTTCAGTTAGAAAAGTGGGTTAATTGCTTTTCAGTGTTCAATAATATATTTAATCCGTTGGCTTGAGGTTAACCTGGCATCTCATCATGGATTTTCCTCACAAAGTAATTTTAAAGACATCAAGAAACTCACAACCATGAAATTAGCTTATTAAATTGATCATTCACCCACAAACGAAAATTGTAATGAATTTTTCATCTTGTTCTAAACCTCTGTGACTTTTTTCTGAGGAATATTGTATTTTAAAAATAAATGCCAGTGTTTTTTGTCCA